AAATAAAACGACGAAAAACAGTATAAGAAAGTGTGCACATGTGAAAACAGTTTGCAAATAAGCGCAGAAAACTTCTTTACTAAGTTCTAAAAACGTATTCACCGTTGTTAGCGATTCAGCGCCAATACTTGATTTACATCCTTACTAGTCAAGCAATAAGGTTTCAAATGCTTTGTACAAATGTAACAAATGTATTGCCAGCCAGCCTCATTCAACGTTATTTCCATAAACGAGTTTAAGGAAATCCGAACAAAACGAACGTTCCGAATTGATTACGTAGAAGTGAGTTAGACCGGGTTACACTCGCTGATCTGTATAAATAGATAGCTAATTGTTTGGGAATGACAGCTTTTTTACAAAACTAAACGCACCTTTTGATGTGAATGGTAGTTAAGTCTATCGCTTTTATTAGGTCGAAATTTATGGATCAACCAATCGCTACGATCAGCGCCAAAATGGCGAAAACCAAGTATATTATTTAAAATACCGCAATTTGTAGCCTGTCCTATTATGGTGGTCAGCGGTTATACTACTTTCAAAGAATCTTGAAGTAAAGCATATTAACATGTACTTAATCTTTACAATCATACTACTCGTAATATTACGATTATAAATACGTGAATGCGAAATTTTAGATGGATTGATGGATGTTTGTTGGAGTTTGTAGCATAAACGGCTGAACGGATCACGATGAAATTTGGCATAGATGTAGAGGATATTGTGAAAGAACTCATAGGCTTTATTTTTGTTTTTTAATTCCACGCGGACGCTGTCTCGTGCGAATTCTAGTCTGTTACATATATTTTTAGGGGTTCTCAGAACACGGAGCTGATGAACAAAGTTTTGGATGATCACTAACAAAATATAAAATTAAATCAACAACAAATAGACTTTTAATAATAGCAATTCTTAAATATTTGCAAAATAATTATTTTATACCTCTTGTATGAATTTTCCATTAAAATCCATGAAATATTACGTCTCAAATTAATGTTTTAAATTGTGATCTTGTAATAATAAAAGCCTATAGCCTAGTTGTTGTTACTTATATTTGTTGTTGCTATTGGATTATTATCTTTTTTTTTCGAATTAATGAAATTCTCTGCTACAATTCTTCATAGCATGATTCGGAGAAAAAATGAAGTATTTTAACATTATGTTCTCGACTCGTACTCTAACAAGAAACTAGGTATTCATTTGTTATTTTCTGTTTGCTCTAATTTGTCTCGAACATAGAGAACAAATGTTTTATTTAAAGAAACGATGTTACGGTGTACAATATTCAAGACGTTACATGCGAAAGTTTAGATGGATGGATGTTTGTTAGAGTTTGTAGCCTAAACGGCTGAACGGATATCGATGAAATTTAGTATGAACGTAGAGAATAATCTGCAAGAATACAGACTACTCACTTTAGATTTATTTTAACTTCCACGCGGACGGAGTCGCAGGCGAAAGCTAGTGTATAAATATTTCATAAGCTAGTTTCTTTTAAAATGCTTTATTTAAAAATAGTAACCTCGGTTTACTTTTATTTTCCAACAGAAAGTAATTACAAAGAATAAAGGAACGCTTGAAAGATTTAATTTTAAAGTTAATTTTTCTACATTTATCTTTAAAAGCCTCTTTATTTAAAATTCTATGCTGATAAAAGTTTCATACAAAATATTTGCATAATCTTGATAATAAGTTAAAATATAAATCCGATATTCAATTCTATTACCTTGACAATCGTTTGACGTCTGTCAAATTACCGACACCCGCACGAAGGCGCCCGTATTACCCAACTTCTGAATATAATATTTCAAGTTTCAATATTACGTTTCAAGTTTTCTTATATATAAAGTAGCAACGCTCACCGGAATAATCATATTCAATTGTACAACGTTCAGAAACACTTCAATAAAGAAATGATTCAAAACCTAGTACTTCTGTCTGGATTGATCGTGGCATCAACATGCACGATTCTACATCCAGCACCTTTACCTGTGTTAATACCAATCCATTACCAGCAACCACCACCGAACTATAACTTCGCTTACGAAGTCAACGATCCTCACACTGGAGACTTCAAAAGACAGCAGGAAACTCGCAGAGATGGCATCGTCCAGGGCCAATACTCCCTCCTCCAACCTGATGGTGTAACCAGGACTGTGGAATACAGAGCTGATGATGTGAATGGATTTAATGCAGTAGTTAGCAACCAAGGTAGACCTATCAATGAGATCCCGGAAAGACAGGATGAGAATACCAGCGAAGGGTCAGGAAGACAAGCGAGTGAAAGACCGCAAGTGGAACAATTCAGGTCCTCTAATGACCAGGTTACTTCAGCACCTCTAACTGTGGCCCACACATCTCTTATACATAGGTCTTTCACAAGTGCTCCTAATTCTTGGGACTAATTCGAATATTTGACTCTACCAGGCTATTGACTTAACTCGGACTCTCTTATATTTCTTTGTAAATTTCCTTTTCTTAAATGTGTTTTTGCTTTAGTGCTTTTTATAGGTTTGTGTTGGTGTTGGTTTTGAAGTTTTATAAATAAGTGATTTTATTATGATGGAATCTATTGCGTGATATACCTCAGTTACTTTTAAACTTTTTTTAAATATATATTGAGCAAATTTAAAACCTTTTTTCTATTTTTCCTTTTAGTTACCTATTGATATGTTAACTAATGTTTTAAAGAGCTTAGTTACTCAAATGTCATAAGACATACTATTGTGAATCTTCAATTGGTTTTTTGTACACTAGCTATTGATCACGACTTCGTCCGCGTGGAATTGAAAAAAAAGAAACAATATAGCCTATGTTACTCAGCGATAACATAGTTACCTTTTTAATAGTGAAAGAACTTTTAAAGTCAGCCGAGTAGTTAGTTTTTGAGTTATTTCAATACATTCAAAAATAAAAATCTTTATAATATTAGTACAGATTACAAACTAGAATCGCTTTATCTTAAGTTCTACATTTATTAAAAAGCAATATAAAATTATATTCATTTATGAAATGAAAGATTTAACTTTTTAAACCGCTGTTGAAAAGTTTAAAAAACTCCTTCACAAGCGTTCTTCGGTGCTTAGAGTTTGTCGGAGCTGGGGGTAGCTGCAGGCTGAGCGAGACGGGGGTTGTTCCTAAGTGACGTGTGGGATAACTTCATTTTGCGCAGGTTTAAATACCGGAAACAGTCTCTGAAGTTTTCTGAATGGAAAGTTAAATAAGGAAGGAGAAAATAATTTTTAAATTCCCATTTTATTATAAGAACTCACAATGTAATTTGATAAAGATGTATACAGTTAAAGTTCAAGTTACTAAGCATAGTAAGTTTTACTTCTTAAGGTGCCTCTTCGACTAGCGAAGGTTGGCGGTCAGTTCTCCAAATTTGACTTTACTCCAAGTTTTACTAGTTAAGTTTTATTTTACTTCATCCTATTTGTTCTAACAAAAAAATATATTGTTAAGATTTCGCGATTTAATAATAAGTTAACCGTTTAAATCCTGATATTTTAAATCAAATTAAAAATATATGTGTAAATGTACCCTTTACTGTTTTTTTACTAATTAAGAAAAATAGTAAAAATATCAAAACGATATTTTTATATATTTTCGTGATATGCTTCTTTTTGTTTTCTGACTTAAAAATTATCAATTAAAGGTAACATGTAAACAGCATGTTATTAAAATTAAAACGATTGTCGGTGCCCAAGCGACTTATATACCCGGTATCAAATTTGAAACTTTAGGTATTTAAGACTGAAGGAGTATTAAAAAGGATACTATGTCCCAATATAAGCTGGATTTTTTTTTTATTTCTGCACTGTATTATGGTGACGGTAATAAATGATTTCTGAGTAAATTACTTTTTAGTTACTGGCACATATAAAAACACTAAATGCGTGTTGAAAACTAAAAAATAAAAAACCAGAAACTAGTACATCGAAGAACAAAGGATCTCTTATTCCTGAAATCCACGATATTTTTGTTGGCAAGCTATTTCAGGGCGATGTTACGGTAAAAGTGTAGCGATCAACCGCCGACACGATAGGGGGCGCTATCGCTATTGTTTCGACTCCCGACCTCGGTTGACTGTTTACACTTTAATGTTTCACTTCACTTTGATTCTACCCTTTAACAATATTCTATTGTTGAAATACTGTACGAAAAATAAAACTTTTTTCAAGATTTTTATTAAACTTGAAATAATTCTAAGTAATGGTAAACTTTCGCTGAAGAAATACACGTAAAAATATATTATATGTCAGTTTTTAATTGAATAAGGATAATTTTTAATAAAAAATAATAAAGAAATATTTGCAAATCATTTTGTATACATTATTTTTCAAGCAGAAAATTAAAAAATACGTTACAGATTTCTACATTTAAGAGGTTCTCCCACAATCTTATACTTTAGTTTCAATTCAATATTTACAATTAACAATTAAACCCGTCATTATTCCGTCTTTGGGTGTTAAGTAACTTAAATTACAATTACGGATCATTTAAACGGTAATTAAATATTTTTCTCATCATCATGTAAGATTGATAATCTGTCATGAAGAATGACAGCCATCAGACACGCCCGGAGCTCGTCTCGGATAATTTGTCACTAAGCAAATTACCAGAATTGATTAATTACGCCCATAATCTTGATGACGTCATCATATGCAGTCTCAGTATATTAATGAGCAACGTCTTGACATCATTAGCCTATTTATCCCAAATAGTTTGATATCTGGAACAAGACGTGTTTCATTTTATAGTATGTTAAGACTGGATAAATATGTAATGAAATTCTATTTAAATAAAATGAATGTGGAGAATCAGAAAGGAAAACGACTAAGATCTTTTTTGCCATACGAAAGTATTAAAACAGCAGATATCAAAATAGAGAAAAAACGTGATAAATAATAGACAGAAATTATATGAAAAAATATATTAATTATATCATACCAATCACATGAATTATCAAAACATTTCAGTTAAATATAAACACATTATAAGAAATTATAGAAACTAGGTCGTCAGGAAAATCAGATTATCCTCAGATGTTCAGAGGTTATGTTCACCATTGTGACGATATTGACGTAACACGTGGTGAATAAGGGCAGTACGTTCCACAGTTAAAGGTCTAGCAGTCTGACCATGTCCCAATTCCTGATCGTCAGTACCCTGCTGGTACTGTTCATGAGACCTTCCACTACCCTGTCTAACAGCTTCGTTCTCGTTTTCTTCCTGTCGTTCGGTATGCTCACTGATTGGTCTACCTTGGTTGTTCACGACTGCATTGAAGCCATTGAAATCATCAGCACTGTAGTCAACTGTCCTGGTGACACCATCGGGCTGTAGAAGTGAATACTGGCCTTGCACGATGCCACCGTTCCTTGTTTCATGCAGTCTTTTGTAGTCTCCAGTGTGTGGATCGTTTACTTGGTATGCGAAGTTGTAGTTGGGCGCAGGTTCCTCGAATTGTATAGGCACGTAGAGAGATATGGGCGTCTGGTGTAGGACCATGCAGGCAGCAGACATGATAAGTCCTGATAGAATCACTAACTTCTGAACCATCTTGATAGTTTACAGTTATCGGTAGATGCTGTTGATCGAACGATGGAGGATTGAATGTGATTGATCAATGTGCCAGTGTCAGTATTTATATTGAAATGAATGAAACATTAAACCGCATTCCGCAAGTAGTGTAACCTGAAGATACTTTAGCTATGCAGTTGTAATTTGATATGAGAAAATTGGAACGTGACATTGAAGAACTCGCTGAAAGTGAACTGTTTCATTTCTCTGACACTTAGATGCGTGAGTTTAAATAACTAAACTATTAGCCGTTTCGTAATCTCTTCATGGATTTAGTGATGGAGCAGATTCTCGGGAATGGAAGTCAGTGTTGTTTTACCTTCGTTTGGGAAAATCTGTGATGAAACCTGACAGGTTATAGTCTAAATAAAAATACGCCTAAACGAGTTTTTTTAGCCTTACATATTGTTATGCTAGCCGGGTTAGGCTAGTAACATAACAGAGTTTGTGGAGTATTTAAACGCGCAAATCTTAAAGATTCCTGGATTTACCATATTAGTTAGTAATTATGTTTGTGTTTGACAACCCATCAAAATCTCCTAATTACTGTTTTCTAGACATTGTTTTTCTTACATCATGATCAGCCATTATCTGTCTACTGTTGGACATAGGCCTTACCCAATTAATTGGGAGGTGGCTTTCCATCCTACATAAAGATTAGCAACACACTCCTATATCAGAGAATGTAGGTTTATAGTGTTAATGGTATGACGGCGCTACACCACAAAACGAAGGTCAAAGGTCAGTTCTGACCGATACACTATTCATGTTAGATAATTGTAATGTAATACTTAAAAATATGACAAATAGCTGTGTACTTATTTGTTCTATGCTTGCTACATTAATAAAGTGACGAAGAACTCTTCCCGATGTTCTTTTGTAGCGATAGTGTCATTGTAAACTTTATTTTTTCAAGCATTTGAATAATACAACAGAGAGTCTGCTCTTTTAGCGTCCGTTGACACAGATCCAATATTGTCTTCCATTATACCTTGTTCTGGAATAGTCCGCTCTTCGTTACACCTGTAATCTTTTAGTGTTCTACTATCAGATGTTTAGTTTCTTTAGTTTCCATTGTTGTTAGTTGTTGTGTTTTATAGTGCGTACTGACCGACGTTACGCGGCGTATTGCTACGTGTAATATTAGCATCAAGCGACTTGTTGCTTATTGGTTTCTCTGTTACGCTGTGTAACTTACTTTCCTCATGTGATGAGTGCAGATACAATAATTTATTCTAATTTAACATAATCATCGGCACAGTATGTGATCTTTTAATTTGTAAAAAGCTTTGTGAGCTAAAGGAAACTCTGTCTAATTTGTAATTTTTTCAATGCACCATAAAACTAATAGTTTTTAATTGTTAACCTCTAATGACTATGTCAGATCTGCTAACCCATTTTTTACAAACGAATAACAATAATATCGGTAAATATTCATATAAAAGTTAAAAGATAAAGGTATGTTTAGACTAAATATATCGGAATTTTTTTAAAATTTTATATAGCTTTAATAACTTTCATAAACTCTGCAGATCATTTGCTATTTCAATTTAATAGGTAATATTTATGGTAAGATAAGGTATTAACTTAATCGGTATAAAGAAAAGAGATTTGATCGTTTACTTTTTCGTGATAAACTTGAAAACTGCTGACCTATTTTCGGTAAATTATTTTATAGGAAGTTCTTCTATCAAGTAGACTATATTTTCTTATCTTTCTAGAAGCTGGGAAAGGTACGAGTTGATAAATAAATAAAATAGAAACGTGTGTATAAAATGATATTTATTTTAATTTTGATTCTTTATCAAATCCATATTAAATTCAAAGAGTTTTCGGAAACATGCAAAAACGTTGGTCTTCTATCCATGAGGTTTTTAGTGAGCGTGGCGATATTGGCGTAAAACGTGGTGGATGAGTGCTGTATTCTCAACAGTCAGAGGCCTGACTGTCTGCTGTCCGGAAGACTGACGGAACTGTTCCTGTTGGCCATTACCACGTCTATCACTATCCTCCCTCAGAGTTTCCTCTTGTCTCTCAGGAAAAGGTCTGCCAGCATTATTTATCACTGCATTGAACCCAGTGCCTTCATCAGCCCTATATTCAACAGTCCTGGTGACACCGTCTGGTTGAAGAAGTGAGTAATGTCCGAGAACAGTGTCTCCTATCCTGGTCTCCTGCTGTCTCTTGTAGTCTCCAGTGTGGGCGTCGTTCACCTCGTAAGCGAAGTCGTAGTTCCTGGTAGGCTCTTGGTATTGGACTGGCACGTATAGTGGAACTGATTGATGCAACACCATGCATGTTGCTGACATGATGAGGCCGGAGAATACAATCAGTTGGTGAACCATCTTGGTTGTTGTCTTGTGGACGGTTTTGTTGAATATGATTGACAGTGGGATTTGATTTGGTATTTATACGATATTGGCAGTGGTAGAAATGAAATAGAATATAATTTTTCGCAATAAGTTACATGAAATGTGACCCTCTGTAGTGAGCAATCGGCATTGCAACCTTGATTGCAGTAAGTTACATTCTATATCAGGTCCTTTGTCGTTTTAGATTCGTCCTATTTTGTTTTACAAAGATATAGCTCATATAGCTCTTGGAAAATTCAGGTTAAATAATGTCGAATTTATCTCTATATCAATTCACTTTAATATTACAATAGTAAAGACAGATTACTTTATTTAATTGGTTACAATTAAGCACGTTATTTGTTGTTCAAAAGATAAGCATAATTTAATAATGCTAAATTCTATTTAAACTAAAATAAAGCAAAATGCTAAGGCATTTTTTAACCAAGTGAAATAGCATTCGCTTACTGATATGTTTAAGTGATATACTCTGTACATATGAGATAGGAAGTTATTCAGATATGACGGCTGATAGAGACGTATGGAAAAACACATACTGTGCCGACCTTCCGTAGGGACAAGAGTTGATGATGATGATGATGATGATGATGATGATAATATACTTAGGTATAGTATTCATTATTTAAATAAGCTCGTTTCCCGCGACTTCGTGCACGCAATATTAGAATAAAAATTCTTATCTATAATATGCCCGTCTATGTGAGCTACCCTTAAGTGAAGGTCCGGTCAAAGTCGGCCCAGGCGTTTAGGAGATTACCCAGAACAAACGCGGCTTGCGGACAGGCAGATAAAAAAAATTAAATGCATTTTTCGTTATCAGTAACGCAAATACATCATCTTTTCGAAATCTGGATTTTTATTTTGATATTACAAACAAACACTCCAATTTTGTTATATATAGAGTATATACTCCAAGTTAGCGAACAATATAATTTTGTATACCGTCTGCAATATGATACATATGTATGTGATTAGAACACTGCGGAGACTTGCTTATTTAACTTGAGGCGCTCAAGTTAAATAAGTAATTTCAATTCATAGCCAAGGTCGCTGTTTAATACATTGCTCATTGTCTATGACAGTTTGTTGTGACGTAATTACAGATTAAATATATTGCATGTAAAAAGATGTTTTATTTTATAACCAGTATAACTATGCTTAATTTCTTTTGTTGTAACTTTCTTCTTCTTCTTCTTCTTCTTCTTCCTTAGCTCTACAGCCCTTTGTGGGCCTTGGCTTGGTCAAGCAATTTTTTCCACTTCGGTCTGTTAGTTGCTACCGATTTCCAGTTTCTTATGCCAACATTCTTTGCGTCACGATTTACACCGTCTACCCATCTTAACTTTGAGCCTGGTTAGCTTTATATGGGAAGCCACATGCGGTTCTTGGTAGTTGTAACTTTAAATATGACTAATCTTACATGCTTCAAATTAACGTTTCCTATAAGAAATTGAAATATTTTTATATCATGGTTATTATCGATGTAACATAAAACAATCGGTCGTGTACCTATGACTTTTTTGCACATTTAAAATCTACTTTCTATTTCCCTATCGTCGTTCCAATTAGTACAAAATATTAAAACGACTGTAGCTTTGAAGGGGGACCACCGCCAGATACCGATTGTACATATCTCAGGTAGCAATGTCACCTTGCCAAGGTGAGAACAGATGCGCTAGTCTTTTCTAGAACCAACTAGAAAAAACTTAGGTTATTTGTTTAATTTTTTTAACCGTCTTCCTAAAAGAAGGTTATAAATTCGTCTGTATTTTTAATTAACTTTATTAATCATATGAAATACTAGCTAACGCCCGCGACTCCGTCCGCTTATGTGTTCTTCCAGACTATCCTCTACATCTACACCAAATTTCATCGAAATCCGTACAGCAGTTTAGGTTACAAACTCTAACAAACATCCATCCATCTAAACTTTCGCATTTATAATATTAGTATAAAGTATAATTGGTTTTCTTACACAATATGAATAATAAAAAATAGTTATATTAAAAACATTTATTTACTTGTATCATATTGAAGAATGGCACAGAAAGGGACTTAGGATCACGAGTTTGAGGAAATATAGAAATGTGCTAGGAATAGAGGAATTATTTTAAATTATACAATGATAATGAAGTAAGAAGGACAGATATCTGTAAATTAAGCTTTTTAAAACATCATAACTTCCCATCTTTTGGTATCCACTTTAGTGATGGCCAAGAAAATAAAAATTGTTATTTTTATTGTTTCTAGCCTTCATTGTAATTCTCCATAGTTAAAGTGCAACATAGTCTACTAATAATTTGCTTATAAGTTATTCGGAGTCATTATTTTCGTCCTTATCGTCTGTCGTCTCAGATATTACGACCAGTTTTTCAAAATATGATGAATCAAGGTCTGTGATAGCGATGGTGAGGTAGTCGCTTCATTTGTTGTCTGCCAAGACTGCTCCTGCCTTTCTTCTTGCTTACGTGAATCATCTTTGTCTTGTCTCTCGGCAGTATTTGGTACTCCTACGTTGTTCACAACAGCATTGAAACCGTTTTCATTGTCAGCGGTATACTGCACAGTCCTGGTTACCCCGTCAGGTTGTAGGATGGTGTAGTGGCCGACAACCGCATCACCAAGCCTGGTCTCCTGCAATCTTTTGTAGTCCCCAGTGTTGGCGTCATTAACTTCGTATCCGTAGTTGTAGTTTGTCGGCTCCTCGTACTGGATTGGGAGGTAGACTGGTATGGTCTGATGGATGACCATGCAAGATACATAGGCGAAGACAGCAGAAAGAATTACCAGCTTATGCATCATGTTTACTGATTGTCTTGATGTGAAGACGAATGTATGATTGAGTATGATTTGAAAATGAATTAATGAGTGAATTTATACTGATTTTATTGTAATATGATCTTGCATTTTGCAATTGGCAACGAGTTGGTTAGTTGTAAGTTGATGCCTAGTGACTGTAATGTTGCGGCCCTGAGATAGGCAACCTAATTTTGCCTAAACTAGGAGCTATATTAAAACAAACAATTTTATTCTTTAATACTGACAGACTTAATAATTGTTTCTGGAGTATTATTCGTTATGAAACAAATAATTATCATGTATTTAAAATTTGTAAAAAGCAGTATTTGTTTTCAATTGTTCGAATATGTAACTACAAAGTTGGATATTCGGTCCGTAGCGTAAATAACTGATTTCTCATTTGGTTGCGAGGTCGTAGACAAAACCCTCGTTACATACACGGAGTTTATATGCATGGAATAATACAGTGCCCTCATTGTTCACACGAAAATGATTAAAATAAACCGGACAATTTGTACATGTTCATTTACACTTTTCATTCCACATTTTATCTCTAAATATAAAAACGAACTTACAGATTTATAAACAGACTCTTAGTGTACAGATTTCATACCTAATCTGTAAAGGCTCTTTGAGTGACAGCTTAATTATTTCGATGAATATTCAATATGTAAAGTCTTCACTAAGAACGCCAGTAATTTTTAGAGAGAAATCTTCACTAAAGGGCTTCCTGAACTAACCAATAGACGTTTTTGCGTGTTGCAGTTAGTACCCTAACACAAATTTACTTTATCAAAACATCAATGATCAATATCTCCCCTCTATACGAGTTAATAAACAAAAGCTCTATAGTATTAAAACAAACTATTTGAAGAGCAACGCTCGTTAAATAAGGGTTCGTTTACACGGTCTCGAGAGTACTTTCATGCTCTTCTCTATAATAGTTGAAAGATATCGACTAATAAATCTAATGCAAACGAACCAAGGGTTTGCACAATAGCTCAGGGTCGATTCTATTCATATCTTGTATTGAAATAAAGCTTAACCTTTGTAAAATTACTGTGAACTTGATAATTCATCACTAAGGGAGGCTACCTAACACTTGTGGAAAAGAAATAACTAAGCTAAACTGTGGTATCACAGTCTTAAATGTTTTTGTAAATCTCAATAGGTAGAAGTTTATTTCATTCTTTCCCAAGCACCAATCTCTTTGACACGCACGCGCTAATATAATTATGTTTATTTATTCCAGGTGGTGATGATCAGTCGGACGTGGGCGTGCGGCTTCTGGTGGAGCCTAGCGAT